ACACAGTCCATTGTGTTGAATCACACCACTTCTCCATCTCTGTAGACTTTCTCAAACAGAACCCCTGGCTACATTTTAGTTCTCATACTGTGCACTATAAATATTGTTAATGTTTTTAATGGCAAAGTTGTACATATTTCTTAATTTTTCTAAAGACAGAATTGGCGTTTTACCATCAGTCCCCCCTCTGTTGCATAGTGTAAACAGTAAAAGATTAGACATTATTCCTTGACACTTGTCCAGTACATTACAACTGAAAAAGTCAATACAACTAATACAGAAAATCTACAAATTTCGATGTGAGTAGCATACCATTCAGGCTCCTTTGAAATACTTTTTTTAAGGCGCTATGATTTGGGGTGCACTACTCCTAAGCTTACAAACTATATATTATGGATTGTATGTAATTTGGGATGCAGCCATGGAGAGTGGCTCAGCATGATGCATACTGCAGCATTGATGTGTCTGTGGTGCTAGTGGTCCCTCTAGTGGGGAGAGACTAGAGGATTACAGCAAAGGATCTTAAACTGGGGCTATTGTGTAGCCTATATTTCTCATATATATGATGTGAAATATTTATTTGTATATTTTTCTAATGGGAAATTGACTCCAATTAGTTTATATAGCAGATATGTTAAGTTTTGGTTGTGATAATCTGCCAACATCTGTATATGAAGGCACACAAAACATGATGACGGTTATTGAATAATTGGGCCATCTGAGAGTCCACTGCCTTTGTAGCACATTTTTTGTTATTGTGGTGGTTGATTTCTATTTTATTTTTTCTTGCCGTGTCACATAGGGCTGGGCGATTTGGCAAAAAAATAAAATCTCGATTTTTTTCAGAACGTTTAACCGATTCTCGATTTTTTACGATTTTTAACTAGTCAACTTAAAAATGTTACTACAACGTGATTCACATAGCTTTTTCTTTATTAACCCTCTAGTTAAAGAAAATTCTATTCTAAGTGCAGCACACATGAAGTTGTCAACATGATATAAAGGTTTCCCGGTATATGACGGTATTTATTTTTTATTTTTTCCATGCATGACCGTAGTGTTGTCACGGTACCAAAATTTGAGTATTCGGTACCGATACCAGTGAAAATCCACGGTTCTCGGTACCAATTTCGGTACCAAAGCAAAACACAAAAACATGCTAATTGAACAACATTTTTATTAATAGCGTTAAACAAAAATTAAATGTACAAAACCAATGCCTGGTTTTGGCTATATTACTTTTTTGCCTCATGCAGCGCACTGCTGCGGCTGAGTAACAAAACAAAAAAAAATTGCATTATATTAATAGACGAACTATGCTCATATTTATAATTCCAAACAGTCAGTAAGCGACAGATGCTTGGAAACGCTGTTTTGTACTCATTTATTATCGAGTCGGCTGTGATACGGCCAGCTGAAAGCGATGCTTCTCTGCCGCTCACTGCACAGAACAGACGCAGAGAGAGACGACACTGCGCCGGGAGAGTCAGACCTCGCGCTCGCGGGGCAGCACTGGCGACATCTTCCAACTGAATCATAGCTAAGGTTTATCCAAAAAAGTCGCTAGGTTTGTCCGTATATATATTCGCAGAGAGAGGCGACACTGCGCCGGGAGAGTCAGACCTCGCGCTCGCGGGACAGCACTGGCAACATCTTCCAACTGAATCTAGGTTTGTCAGTATATATATTCTATGGAAAAAAGCCGCTAAAAGCGTCTGAAAGTTGCTAAATCTAGCTCTGTAGTCGCCCTCGTGTGTGTGAGACGCGGGAGCTGATGGCAGCGGGCGGTGGATATTGTGGACGAGTTCTTCTGTGTCATCACGTTCTACTAGTTCTACAGCTTCAGTTTCGGAACTTTCACGCTTAGTAACATACAGCTGTGTCCTTGCCTCAGTGCAACAGTGAAAAGAGAGGTATTCGGTATGAACCGGTATACCGCCCAGCACTACATGAACTACAACTGCATCCTGTACAAACTTGTCTTATAGCCTACATGTTATATGTTCAGAAATAATAGGCTACAATGAAAATGCTTCAAAATATTCTCAACAGTAAATGTAATTCAAATTCAATACATTTTTAAACCGCGCACTTGTAAATATAGCCTATCTGTACATTCATTTAAACAGTTACATTTCTCTATATTTCTACTTCTGTGTATAGTGCATTATTTAATTTTTTGTTTTTCTTATATTAGTGTTATACTCCATCTCTACTGTGTAATTCCTATGTCTGCTGCACTAGTTTGCACTATGTCCATACTTACTTCTGCACTGGAAGCTCCTGTCACTAAGTCAAATTCCTTGTCTGTGTAAACATACTTGGTAATAAAGCTCTTTCTGACTTCTAAGGTAAAACACCAGTAGACTATTAACAATAAATGTTCTGTGAAAACAATGAACAGCAGCTTTCAGCCTGTCACCATGATACAAACATGAAATATTAGACATACAATAGTAGTTCTTTACAGGTTTTTTATTAGATTGCGCTGCTTTTCCATTGTTTTTTCTATGTAAACATGGATGCGTTTGACTGTTGCACTAGCATCTCTTGCAGCATCTCACGCATGAAATGGCATTATAAAAACGCAGCGCTCAAATTAAAAGAAGTTCACTCACATCTTTTTTTTTTTCTATTCCACTGTCCATGTTGCATCTTTGTCAACACAAAAGCACATTCTGTGTGAACGGCGCCTCGCGATATGAGTGCATCACACGTGAGCGGTTAATCACGTGCACCGACATGTGGTTGGATCGTTCTTTACTGTTATGATTGGCATATTGTCACAGTGTCTAATTGCAACATTTGGTAATATTTCTATTCAAAATCGCGATTCCTCGATTTCTAAAAAATAAAATCGTGGCAAAAAATTTAATTAATCGATAAAATCGGACAAATCGCCCAGCCCTACCACCTCCTGAGGTTTG